ACAAAGATCTATTTTAATAACTTCTGTCTTATAGAATAACATTTCCAGATTCAGCAAATTTTGTAACATAAAGAGGATGTGAAATATAACTTTTCTATACTCTGATCAGCCTTCCTGTTATCTTCTGAAAATCTTGCTCTCTCTGTTTCCTGCCCTTTTATCAAACTAACACGCGGCCCTCTTTTATTTTGAGTCTCACACCTGTGACTCTTCAGGATCGATTACCGGTAAGCTAAACTGAGCTGGTTTCTCTGGGCCTCTTTAAAATATTTGGTAATTTATGGTCCTACCTTTAATTTTGGTTTAAAAAATTTCAAATAACATTATTTACAGAAAGCTACATCTAAATGCATGAGCATATTGTGAAGGGACTGCCACAGAATGTTTAATGTATTAAGATGATAAGCCATGTTTTTGTTTTCCACAAACTAACCATCTGTAGCTACCATCTTGTTAGTGTTAAATATTGTCTTACTGTTAGGGTCAAAGGTTTACATTCACCCATCATTAAAGTTAAATTAGCTCTGGCTTTTAGTGCAAAGTTTTCAATCTTTGTAGGACCGATGATGCAACACACACAATTAATGGATATTAAAAGGAATTTGGTGATTTATTTTAATTTATTGTAGATATTCTTTCCACTAAACATCACAGTTGAACCTAACTATATTTGTTTTGACAAATATGATTTAAAAATCGAATAAATGTTTGATTAAAGCTGTTTTCTCAGGTGTTCTTAAAAATAACTAAAATCACATCTGTTTTTTAATATACAGCTATGACATTGTACTGTCGAAAGCAGCTTTAAGTTATCCATGTTTTCTTTTTCTTTTCTTTTTTTAGCCTCATGGTTACCACAAGAGTTAGTATTTAATTTCATAAATATTGTTTAAAAATCAAACAAAGGTGGTCTGAAAATACTTTTTAAGGTATGCAGTTACTGTGTATATTACATGTATATATGCCTATTGTTGTTCTATTCTCCCTTAAAATTGGTAGTCATATAAATACATTTTGTTGTACACCTTAAAGTGCTGTTCCTATAAGAAATGCATGAAAATATTCATACCAATTGGTTTACTGACAAAAAGCCAGGATTTATATTGTAGTTGAGGTCAGGTTCATTAACCCTCTCAGGCTCAAATTAAGTTCATATCATTTGGGATAGTAATATACAATTCAGACTTTTTTTCAGAGAGACCTTCACATGCAATGAATTCTTGGATGTTGCAGATTTGCAACAGTGCCCCGGAGTGGTAGATTAACTCTAAAGACTGAATCTGATATGACCGTTAACTTTATTTGAATGTCACAAACAAAAAATTAACAAAACAAAATTCGAAAAAAATTTTTTCACAAAATTAGAGACAACTTTTTCTTAAACTTTTTCTCCACAGACATCTTAAAACTTTTAGAGAAGGCCGTTTCTGTTAAACTGTTGCTCAAAATATAGGCAAACTAGTAGATAAAGCATGTAGCATCCATGGTACCTGTTTGGGTACCAATTCGCAAACACGTTGCGAATCTACAACCCTGAAATCGAGATGCCTCTGGTAAAAAAAACCCCAGACAAGATAAAATCTACTAATTGGCATGTGTCATATATATACACATTCATGATTCATCTTATGTAGTATTGATTTCAAAATAATGGAATTTGGTAGTGATACTTACATGAAATTGGTGCTTAGAAAATCTGTTTCAGTGACACCAAGGACTCAGCCATGTTGAAAGTGAGTCAGCAGTGTCATCTGGTGAGCTGGAAAGAAACGGTTTGTTGCAAATGCACAACTAAGTCCTTATGTTGTACTTCTGAGTAACAAAAGCTCTTAAAATATGGATGTGGAGTAATTAGCTAAGTAGCATTTAGCTGTTGCAAATCTGCAACATCTGTTTGGAGAGGGTTAAACAAGCTCAGTCTTTCCCTTTATCTGCTTATGAAGTTTTGATGTCTTTTTTGGACAATTATCCTGTTGGAACACCAAGTTTTAAGAAACTGATGAATTTTGGAGATATTTTTGTCATTCATTAATCTATTTACTACCAAAGGCAGCATAGCAGACCCTCATCATGATGCCACCACTGCCATGCTTAAGAATTTGCCTCACAGTTGACTTCTCTATGCTGCTCTAGAACAAAATCAGTTCCAGTCAGGTTTCCATGCCAACCACAAAAGTGAGACAGCCCTGATTAAGCTGTTCAATGACATTCCTTTAAATCTGGACTCTGGAGGAACCACAGTGCTGGTATTATTGGACCTCAGAGAAGCGTTTGATACAGTTGATCACTTGACTTTATTAGAGCGCCCGGAAACACTGGGTTGGACTTTTTGCTACAACACTGGGCTGATTTAAATTTTACCTGAAGGATACTGACTTTTATGTGTCATTTTACAACAGAAAAATCACATGTGGGGTTCCTCAAGGCTCCACTCTGGGGCCCCTCCTATTCAACATCTATAGATCAGTTACCATAACTATGCAGACGACACACCGCTTTACATCACACTGTCACCAGGTGTCTATGACCCCATCAGAGATTTAACTAGATGCTTAGAAGAAATCAATACATGGATGTGCCATAATTTTCTACAACTGAATAAAAACAAAACTGAGATAATAATCTTGGGACCAAAGGAGGAGAGATCCAGAGTTAGCTCACAGCTTCAGCTGGCCACCACTGATTATGGCTGAAATCTTGGTGTCATGATGGACTCAGACTTTCGGAGGCACATTAAGGCAGTTACTAAGTAAGCCTTTTTTCACCTGAAAATATCTCCAGGATTAAGGACTAATGTCTAAGCAGGATCTATAAAAACTCATTGATGCATTATCTTTAGTAGAATTGATTAGTGCAGCAGTCTCTTCATAGGTTTGCCTAAAAAGTCCATTAGACAGATGCAGGTGATCCAAAACGTTGCTGCACGTGTTCTCACTTGAACTAAGAAAGTAGAGCACATCAGGCTGGTGATGAAGTTGTTCCAATGGCTCCCTGTAGGTCAGAGAATATACTTCCATTAGTCTATAAATTAGTCAATGGATCAGCACCTTAAAACATAACAAATTTGTTGTCAGTGTATCAACGTCCCAGACCAATCAGGTCTCATAGTTCCAGCCTACACCCAGAACTAGAACCAATCATGGAGAATCAGCATTTAGTTCCTATGCTCCACTGTTCTGGAACAAACTCACAGAAGACTCTAAAAGTGCTAAAAGCCTGAGTTCTTTGAAGTCAAAGTTAAAAACACATTTGTTTAGAGCTGCCTTTGACTGTTAAAATAAAACTGCTAAATGGGGTATAATTAGTTTAAGGTTGTGATCCAACTGTTTCTTTTTTGTTTGATTTGTTTTACTATGTGCTTTTATCATGTTTTTATCTTTATTTGCTTTTACTCTGCTTTTATTTTTCTATATTTCTTATATTGTCAAATTCATGTATAGTACTTTGAATTGTCCTTGTATTATTTGTATTATTTGTTATTTGTAACAAATAAACTTCAGATGTTATCAAGAAATTTTACTCTTGAAGAGTCTGTTCCACAAGTAAATGTTTGCAACCTAGACATGTATGTCTATTAATTCCAGTCCATCGGTCTTTTTCAGAATCAAAGTTAACATAAAAGTCTTTTTTAAAGTTATTGAAATATTTGAAATGTAGTTTTTGATTTTTGTTCTATATTTACATAAATCTATATATTCAACTAGACGTCCTTAAACAGCCTGGTAAGGACTGAAACAACTAATCAGATAAATCATGATTAATTGATTATTGAAATAATTGTCAACGAATTTATTAATGATTAATCATTAATTGGAGTATAGAGACTGTAGAATATACCTATAGCTGACAGAGTGACCCACTTAAAGCAGTAATTATATCAAAATTGTAAAAAAATTTTGCATTTAAGATTAAAAAATGTTTTCCATATCTCCATATGCTCTATCCAGAACTCCTCAAGTGGAAAAGTTAGATTTTAACCTAATTTAATTTGTAAAACATTTTCTTTAAGGGACCCTTTGCTAATAATACTTATACTTCAGTGATAGTATCTAGGTGTTACTTTATTGTATATCTTTTACCATGTTTGTTGGTTGTGCAGTTCTTTTTACATCTCTTTACAGGTGATGAAGCAGACTGAAAATGTTTTATGATTATCTACTCTTTCTTTCATCTTTTCTCCTTTTTTTCTGTTTTTTTTCTTCCTTTTTTATATTAATTATATTTATATTAATTATAATAAAGCAATTTATATGCATCAAACAAGCGGCACACTATAGCCCTACTGCTCCACTTGTGAAAGTAAAATCTGTTGGGCTCTTTTTGGCATCAAGAAATTCGCTATCCGATTACTAATCACACTAATGTGTGAGTAGAATCTTGGGAAATTTGCTGCATTAGATTGTAATCAGAATCACACTAGATTAAGGATTGTTAACCCCTAATCTATGATGATAAATGCCTTGAATTTATATGAATTAGAATAAGAGTTTCTTTATAATGTTGTTTGTAAAAACAAATGGCGCTGCACCCATAAACAGGACTGAAGTGAATAAATGCAGGGCTGAAGGTGGTGTTGATGTCCTGCCTGCTGTTTCCGCCTCCATCGTCAGGGGTCGTGCCTCCACTGGACATTTCCAGCTCAGTGGCAGAAGTTGCGCTCTGCGCACAAACTCAACATCCACACCGCCTTGAAACGTTTCATGTAAAAACTAAAATCAGTTTAAATTAAAAACCGCGGGATCTTGGAGATATAAATCTAAACTTCTAGAGCACTGCTTATAAAAGGCAAAATTTTAAGTATAATAATACATTTACCACATAGTGAAACATCTAATAGGTTAATTTCTAGAGGTTTTAGTTAGATTGATAGGATTAGACAGGCAGAGATGAAGAAAATCTAGATATATGAGGTTAAAGTTGCAGCCTGGAAAGCTCCACCTCTGAGGGCGCACGGAGTGGGTGGTTTCTGAGCACACGGACTCGCAGGAATTCACGCGCACTGAGATATTATGGACTGCAACCTGCTGATCCCTTCCTCACTCTGAGGCTCAACCTGTAGGAGCGAGAGCGCCGCTCAGACGTTTCTTTGATTAATACCGGGAGTAAATGTGTCTGTTGGAGGAGAATGGCTTCTATTAGTGGCGCAGCGCTGTGTGCAGAAGGCTTTCCACAGTCTGAAGAGTAGCGGAGCGCTCAGAATAAACTCTCACATGGTGCACTTTATCCTGGAGCAGCAAAGAGCGCTGCTGGGAGCAGAAATGAAAGCAGGAGCGATACTATTATGCGCGTTTTCCTTTACTGAGTATTTCAAATGGCTTGATACGGGGCTTCTGCTCTGCTTTTGATCAATACTTTCCACTGATAGCTGCGTCCTCGGGTGGACTTTGGTTACCATTACGCGCAATTTGCGTTCGGATAGGCGAGAGAAACTCCAAGCCAGGCACGATCGGGACTCTGGAGAGCTCAGCGGGGTGAACACCATGACCAGCTGCCTGCTCGCCTTGGTCGGAGTGTGGTGGAGCGCTTACTACTGCACCTATGCGGCGGCGGGGAGTCATTTCTCACTGGAGGGCAACAGCGACAGCCAGCCGGGCTTCGTCCACCGGCGGCTGCGGACGCACGAAAGGAGAGAGATGCAGAAGGAGATCCTGTCCGTCCTGGGGCTGCCGCACAGACCGCGGCCGCATCTGTCCAACGGGAAGTACAACTCCGCTCCGCTCTTCATGCTGGACCTGTATAAAACTATTTCAAGCGAGGAGAAAAGCCAAGTGGAAGGAGCGCTGGAGAGATATCAGTCCATAGCGGCGACCCAGATCCCTCCTCTGGCCACACACCAAGAAACAGCCTTTCTGAATGATGCGGATATGGTGATGAGTTTCGTTAATTTAGGTGAGTCGAATCAAAACCTCTTTTTTGGGCTATATTTTTGTGGCGATTGCCGAAAAAAAGATAAAATAATACCAAATGAATGAAAAAGTAGGTTTCTGTAATTGATGAAACTCTTTAGTGTGACTGTCCTCCTGTGGACATGCTTCTCGGCGTGGCTCTCCATCAGTGCGCACAGCTGACGCGCCTTTACGCACGTAGGGGGACTTCTGTAATTGTAATCGTGACATCTTCTGATCTCAGTTAGGTGTAAAAATTAACCAGAAATCTCATATATGTTTTTACAGCTGAAGGTGTTGGCTCGGTTTATGTCAAAAAATGTAGATTATGATATTTTATGAGAGTTTTTTTTTTTCCTCAATTACAATTAAATGAGTCGATGCTTTATTCCAAGCGACATGTTGGACAACTTGGGACAGTTTTAGTCCGTTATTTGATGCTGTGTTGATGCTCATCTTCTATCTACATTACTTTCTGAGCTACTCCTTCTTCTAATTTTCTCACCCAACTTTCCTTAATTTTCTGTTGCCTTTTACTTCCATCCTTTCTGTAAGTGTCCACATCCAGGATGACATTCTGTTTACCCCCATTAAGATGTATTTATACAATATAAGCAGTGTGTAAAAGCAGGCTGACACCCCCATGAATCAATATCAGTTTTGTATATCCGCTTTACTTCATTCTGTTTAAAAAGTAGAGGTCATTTAGATTTTTTACACAAATAGTGATATTTCAAGTATCTATCTTGGTTAATTATGAGCTCCATTAAAGGTAAAGCAGATTTCAGTATCTCAGAAAACAAACACTACACCACTGTATTAAAAAAACAGATTTATAAATACAGTTTCCACCTACAGTCTTCTAAATATCTGGAAGGTGATCAGCTTGTAACTCTGCTGAGATGTTCTTTTCTAAATTGTTGTTTACAATTATCATTAAAACAAGTGCTGCAAGTATCTGGGGCAGATCCAGCCACAGTGGTTGGTTATCAACACTTATTTCTCGTCTGTTCCACAAGTAAATATTTGCATTAAATACCAGTCCAACGTTTTTTTTTTTCAGAATCAAACTTAACATAAAAGGCTTTTATAAAGTTATTGAAATATTTGAAATGTAGTTTTAGATATTTTTTTCTCGATATTTACATAAATCTCTGCATTCAACTAGATGTCCTTAAACACAGCCTGGTAAATAAAACAAGCAAACCTTCTACATTATCTGTCTTTTTCTAATATGTTTACCTCACATCACCTCTTCAGTAGTAAATTACTGTATAACTATCTACTTGATATATATATATATATATATATATATATATATATATATATATATATATATATATATATATATATATATATATATATATATATATATATATATATATATATATATATATATATATATATATATATATATATATATTTCAAGTGTCTATCTCTGTTAATTATGAGCTCCAGCAAAGGAAAGGCAAATTTCAGTATCTTAGAAAACAAACACTACACTAGTGCATTAGAAAAAAGATTAATAAATGCAGTTTCCACCTACAGTCTTCTTAATATCTGGAAGGTGATCAGCTTGCAACTCTGCTCAGATGTTATTTCTGAGTGATAAAACAAGTGCTGCAACTTTCTGGGGCAGATCCAGCCAAAGTGATTGGTTAGCTTCTACAGGAGAATAGTCAGCAGATGGATGAATTGCATGAATTGCTGTAAAGTTTGCTGCAGGCTATGCTGATTTTGGACTTGATAAAACACAGAACCAACACCACCAAATGACCCGTCTATCTAATCTGCTGCTGACTGTGAAAACCTTACACCGGACCTCAAATATCTTGGATTTTGCACCTGTTCACTTTTTTATCCAAGGAAGATATGACACTCTGGTGTCATATCTGCTTCAGGATTGACTTAAAACAAATAATTCAACAATTGTGGCGTATCTTCTGGATATTTCTGTGTGTTGCCTTTTGATGCACCAACTCCAGCTGCTCCCTGCAATTTCCTCTCTACCATACTTTTTCCTTCCACCTAACTTTACATGCTTGGAAAAAGGACTCTGAACAACCAGCTTAGTCATAATATTTTTGTTGCTGCTTATAATTCCTGTCTTGGATACCGAGAGAGTCACCAGTCCTTCCCATGATAGTGTCAGCCTTATGAATGGCTCATTATTTTTTATTAGTGTTAGGAAACCTGATTTTCTGTAAAACTAAATTATGGGTTTGATTCGATGTTATTTATGAATTAACTGAATCAAATCAAAATATTTAACATGTTTTTGATGATATTTGGATTTATGGAGGTCAACCCTTACATGGTTTCATTCATTTTTCAGAGGAATGGTTGAATTTTTAAAAAAGTTTGGGAAGAGTTTTCAACTACATCTACTTTGTCTGCCCTTTTTGGTCTTGGAGTTAAGTTTCTCTCTCTGGGAGCCACTTTCAAATGTTTGTCGCTTGGTGAATATTTCCAAATCTTGGGAACGGGAACAGTTTTTTTTTTTTTGTAGCTGGTTCAGATTTCACAAGCAGCCTGTGCCAATTTAACTTATTTTGGACAAATTAATTTAATAATTTATTCAATTTAATTACATTCCCAAACAAAATATTTATTTTTAACTCACAGATTGAGCATATGTATATATTTTTTACATTATTGTATGATGTCAAACCACAGAATCGGCTCACGGGACTCAGGAAAGGCTTAAAATGCTCTTTTCTCATCCTATATCCATTTTGACCAAATGTCTCCATTTACCTGTATTTACTCTACAGTCTAGTATTTTATAATGAACCGTCCCAGTGCTCATGCACCACAAAGGGAGCAAATAACTCACTCATTTCCTATGTGGTGGGACAAATGAGCTTTGTATTGTTTCTGGGTAATTTATTGTTGCTCCCTCTCTCCGGGTAAATTTGCCCTCCTCGGTTCACTTATGGGACTGAAATTCTGTGGTCAGTCTTGCAGTGCAATCTGCTCTATGATGTATGTTTTAAGCAGGAGAATAAACCCAGTATCCACAGCAAAACCATCAACCGCCACCACTGGTATTTGTATATAGAGGCTTATTCCTGATCTTGACCTCCAGTACTAAAAAGCTGTGGGTTTTCTGTGCGTAAATTGCGTTGCATTGTTTGTGTTTCCCCTCCGAGCAGATTGGTCTTTAATTAGCCCCCAGCATGATAAACAGGGACACTTTAATCATAACGAGTTTGGAACATGAAAGCTCAAAGCCCTTCCTTCCATTAGCAGCTCCAGTGTTTACTGGGAGACTCTAAACAGAGCTTTGGAAGATAAACAGAGGTCCTGCCAGAGTCACAGGCCAGTGGAAAAGGAGGTCTCAAAGCAGATTGATTATGGTTCTTCTTGGGAACAGAAGGCTTTGTCATGGTTTGGCCATCAGAGCAGTGGCAATGTACTCCAGAAGGATGTTTTGGTTTTTTCAGAGTTGAGCTCCTCCTGGGACCAGAAGTTCTAAAAATGTTTTCCTCCTCACCTGTATAAACCATAAATAGCCTCTCTATTCACCCTGTGATGAAGAGAATTAGGCTGAAGTGGCTGACATCCAAAATACTTCTCTACTTATTGGTCCTCTGAGTGTTGGTGTTGCAATATGCAGTGATGAAAACCAGATATCCACAAAGATGGAAGCCGTCGAGTTTTTTTTGTTATTGGTCTCAAATATCGAATCCCTTCCGTGGGCTTCTGTAGGTGGGGGGGAGCGGCAGTGTGGTGGCAGTGTGGTGTTTGTGTGTCTGTGGTTTTGTTCTTCCTCTGCTGTGCAGGTTTTGGTTTATACTCCTGTGCCGGTGCACATCTGGCTCCCCGCTTTGATTAATCACGTCCTGTGCATCTTTTGACAATTCCCTCCGATTTCTGTGGTGACCTGGGGGATTAGGTTGCCATCTCCTCCAGTCGTACACAGAGTCCTGACCGCCCTGGAGGAGGGACGGCTTCCTTCCCCGAATGTGATTGTAATTAATGTTGGACAGGCCAAGGCCTTCCATCTGCTTTACAAATAAAGCCCCGCACGACTACTGTGTGTCATTGCCATCCCGATTAGATTTTAATGTGTCTTTTTTGTCGAATAGAGCGCTTACTGCGGGGCAACGTAGAGAGCTGTTGAAAGAAGAGGCCTGAAACACTCCTGGGTGGTCCTTGTTTTTGTCCAAAAATCTGGATATCATGTGTGGCCAGAGTGAAACTATAAATTAGAATTAAGATAAATGAAAGGAAGAAAAGTGAAGGGCCCAAACAATCTGTCTTAAGTGGTTTGAAAAATGTGGAGCAAGATTAAGAGACACACGCAAAAGGAGCTGCTTATCTGGCAAACGCTGTTCAGTAAACTGTAACAAGCTAATCAGTCCAGCCCAGGCATAAAACATGTGAGTGATTATCTCACTGTCACCAGGTAGGTTTCTTGGTGTCATCATTTAGTAGAAATCCATATTCCTGTCGGCAGCCAAGACCAAAGTGGACTCCTACCTTCCTTCAAATACTCCATCCCTCCAAAGGCATCAAAGCAATTTATCCAAAGTCTATTTTATAAATCTTTAAGCCTTCCTCATACTTTAATTAGGTTTTTCACAGATAATCCAAAGATTACTACTTTGATAACTCTTAGACATAAAATAAACTATTAAAAATAGTTATCTTCTGTAGCCAAGTTCCTTATTATCCGTTTGGCTGATTAGAGTCGCATGTTCTGGTGAGCTTACTGTAAAGCTGTTTATTTTGACTGCTAATTGTAACTTGTATTTTTATTAGCTGTTTTTCAGATTAGCAAAGGTTTCTCCTTTCTTCTCTGTTTCATGTATGTCTGAGCAGGACTGCAGATCCCATTGCTCGTTCAATCACAGGGAATTTAGCTTTTGGCTAGGCATCCAAAGAGAAAGAAATAATTTTTGAAAACATGGGGTTCCTTTTCCTTCGGTTACCAGCAGATGAGATGTTTCTTGTATGTTTACTCCTCTTTGTCAGGAAAAAAACCCACATTGGAAAAGC